TCAGCCGCGTACATTTTAGAGAATTCCAGTTTCGCTCCGCATCGAAGTTTGAACGCTAACAAAGCGGAGCTTAGTTTACGCTACATGTCTCCCTTTCCACGGCTACCCGTTCCTCTGTCTCCCGTACAGAATAAATAACAATTGAGCGAATCGTATTCCGTTAGACTCCTGATACGTTTATCGATCTTATTTCCAAATTTACGTATGAAAGTCGAAGAAAAATTTCAATGCATGTTGACAATTAAGAATAATTAATCTAAGGAGTTACGCATCCTTGGAAATTAATTATAATTAGAGCGCGAATATTCATGAATACGATGTTTACGAAGAATAAAGAAAATTGTATGTATGATTAGAATGAATATATCTAAGCGATAATGTTACGATTAAAACAATTATACGATATTCAATCGAGATATAATTTCAATCGAGAGAATGGTTCGTATTAAAAGAATTTTCAGAAGGATCGTTCGAAAAAGTTTTGACAGTTTTACAATCCGCAAATCTCCGGGGCCGCGCGGCGGCAAACGTCAAACGGGGAGAATGAAATCGAAATTCAATTTCTCGTCCCTCGTTGATACCCGTTCGATGCGCGAGGATCTCCCCCGTGAAACCATCACACGATTACGCTAATTCGGCTATCATTTATTTTTCGTTCGCCCTTCCTTTTCCTTCTTATCCTCCGCGCAAACGAGCCACCCCTACCCTACTACCCCTCAACCCTCTCCTTCGGTGGTGAGCTGTTACACGGATCGAGCAACTTTGAAGTGCGCAGGGTTTTTGATGTAGCCACCAACTGTTCCTGCGTCCTGTTCGCCATGCAAAGCAGTGAATCACGCATTAGGCCCAAGATGAAGAGACAAATAATCGAGGTAATCGAGCATCGAAAAGCGTCCAACGCTCGTCGAATCGAGGGCAAACAGTTTTCCTTTCCTTCAAACGTAAAAAAAAAAAATTCTTCCAACGTATCCGAAAATCGATTGTAAATCTGAAACTTCACCATCTCCTCTTTCTATTCCATATAATCTTCTCTTCTTTTTTTCTTCTTTCGAGGGACGCGAGGAAAAGTGAAACGGCGTGACGTTCTTTGAAATCGAAGACAAATATCGATATTCGACATTCATCATAAAATTCATCCAAACTCAATAATCCTCCAATTAATTCAACGAATCGAGCTGAAGCTTAGGGTTTACACGAGTTTCCACAATGGGGGGAGGTCGATTTATATCGGTGGTTGTCGTGGCATCAATGGGATTCTAGGGAAATCGTAAAACACGACCGGTCCTTGTTCACTTAATCGAGTGCACGCACCCAGTTCCCCACGAGGACGATCGTTTCAACGCGCGAACACGAGCGCGAAAGTCGAGTGGATGGCGAAGACAAATATGCGGGGGACACGAAACCGCGGTTCCAGCCTCTTAACTCTTCTGATTCCGGCCAGGGAGGAGGGGAGGAGGGTACATGCGTGTACGTGTGCACGCACGTGTGCATTCGTACACGCATGTGGGACCAACCTAGATGAAATATTGGCCGTATGTTGTTCGTGAGGACGAGCCGTGCTTGCCTTCGTGGTTTTCCTATCGTTTAACGGCCGCCCGATCGGGGGAAGATTGGTGGAAGTCGCGGTGGAACGGACAAACAGCCGAGGACGAGGATGGAAGGTCGATAAAGGAGCAAGAGGCGAATCCACGCCGTACGTGGGAGCCGAGTATTAATTCCACGTACGGCGCACCCCTGTTATTTCAAGCAAAGACACGAGGCGATGCTCGCCTTTGCCACGCGCACGCATCATACTTTATTGGAAAATGTGCAAATACTGTTCTTAACCCCTCCCCTCTCTTGCTCTTTCTCTCTCTTCTTTGTTTTCTTTTTTTATCTCGCTTTTTTTTCGACAACTTTTCCGCATCCAACCGAGATCTCATCATTTGCAAGTGAATGGAAAATGAAGAGGAATTTGTGAATAAGAATGTGCACGCATTTAATTTTTATGTTAAAATATATTATTCGTAATTCGTCGCTACGAAGATGTGCGTGTAAATGTAAATCGGATCGCGAATTTAATTATATGTTCGATAGATGAAATACATATTTCGTTGAAACGTATCGAACGATATAATTGCTGTTTTTTAATTTGCAATTTGCAACAACGACAAACGACAACGACTCGATCGAAATATATGTAAACGCGTAAAGGATGGGTGTAACGTAAAACTCGAAATATCAAATTTTTATCACGTACGAAACGATGTTTCGTGCTTTTCGTCTCTCACGGGGATGAATTCTAAATACGTGTTCTCCGGGCCGGAAGAGAAGTTACAACATCAAAACCATCGTCTTTTACGTGAAGCCTAGGCAAAGCTAGTGAAGTTCTCTAACAATATAATTCGATATGGACCGAGTCTGCCTAAACTTGTTTCCGTTATCCGCCATGGTCGAGGCCTTACATTTCCTCCCGTCGCTATGTGATTTCCGTGGCTACTGAAGGGGAATCTTGATACGCGCCATACTGTGTCGAATATATCCCGACGTTTTTCATCGCACCAACGACCTTTTTTACGTTTCCACCGTGATCCTATTAACTTTTTATCGCCACGAGAACGTTTCTTTTCGAGCGAAAGTCTGGCGTGCGCGATTAATTTTTCGAGACCACCTCTGATTCGATACTTCCAACTTCCCTGTATAAGGGAAGCAACAGTGTTGTGTACTCAAACGGAGATGAACAATTGCTTCTCGTTATAAATCACTATTATAGTTGTGGAACGAATGAATAAATTAAATTTCAAATGGTTTGTAACAGAGAAAGAGGTATCGATACCACGTCTCGTAATTAAAAAAAAATTAAAAAAAAAAAAACGCTATTAACTTTCTTTCGAAATAAACGTCTAATGATTCTCGATATTTTTAAAATTGCGATCTCTCCTGTTCTTTTTTTTTTTTAACACATTCCATGCCGCGTGATTCGGATACATCCCACTCTGAACTCTCCGTTCCAACCCATTTAAAATTTTCTCCGTGAAATGGAATTTACAATAAAAAAATAAATGCTAAAAATTCCCAACACGAGAAATAAAAGAATAACCTCCCTTTCGAAACTATTGAATCGAACCTATCCAATTAATTTCCTAAAAAAAAAAAAAAAAAAAAAAAACGCTTAAACTCATAATGTCACGAAATGTCAGGCGTACTGTTTTATAAATGAACGTCTGAAAACGTTTTTCAGCCTTAACGCAGGCGTAATCGAGCAAACTGGTTCCCCTCATCGCACACAGAATGTCGGTACGCGAATCAGGCGTCGCTAATTTGCCTCGATAATGACTGCAACTACGGTGGAGAATTAACCGGCGAAAAGGGAGCCGCTGCTCGATCCGTATCTGATGCCTGGTTGGCTGCTTTATGAATGGGGAGGAACCTCGATGATCGTCGCGCGATCACGGAAGAAGATTGATCTGTCCCCGATGATCTGAGCCACGTTTATTAGGAATGCCCGAGGTAACAGGCCCTCGTTTCGACCGACTATCGACGCGAGTTCTCGTTCGTGATAATAGACCGAAATTGGGGCACGCGACCGATTACCTTAAAAATCCTATTTCCGTTTTTCTCGAGTGTCGAGTTCCGTCTACGTTTCGAAGAAATCGAATGTTAAATTTGATTGAACTTAAAACCAAGACCCGGTTTAACGCGTTCCCTTTGAGTTACTTGATCGATTTGTTAATTGGATTTTTTTTTTTAAAATTAAGAAAGAATCGTGAAGTAATCGAATTGTTATATTTTCGAGCAAATTGTCGAAATAATATATTTTTCAAAAATATATGAAAATGTTTAGAGTTAAATTTTCGTTTTATTTTTTTCAAAGGATGGATTTTTGTACAAATAAGGATCGAGTAATATATAAAACTTCACGGATAAATCTAGGCTAAACCGTCTTACTATTGAACTACATCGAATAACTTATCTACCGTTTGTAACCACATTGTTTGAGGAAATTACGTGTATTACAAGTTCCATCAAATTCTATCGCGTAACAATAGCGTATTACACAGGCCTCATTTAACTCCCTTCTATCCCTACTATCTGAGCTATTTAACATTCGATCTCAATTCCGCCGTACAATAACTGAATATTACTTGCGAATACGCGTTCACGTTCTAGACATTTTATACTACTATTTTCAACAGGGCAATGATTCCTAACCGGCGTGGCAAAATGAACAACGTGAATTCATCGAGTGCACAACTCGACGCCCATAAAAGCAATCTATTCGTCAACAAATATTTACCATCTAAATTATTGCACTTTCCGCGAATTAAACGGCACAGCTTCACCGTGTTACCTCTGTTCGCCGTACAACTACAGTATTTACACGATGTAATTGCATTTACATATCATTCGAACCAACTTTTGTGCGCAACAGTTCGCCGAGCATTTCTCTTGACTTTTGCACGGGTTAACACATGTCGATAGAGCCGAATTAATTGAACAACTCGAATCATTCGAGTTATTCCCTATTGTGGAAAGATAATTGTAGGGACTGTGCCAGTAGAACATTTAACAGTGGAACGATTGCTAATTAATGAATAAAAATTGGAATAATTTCCGATGAAAAATATTCCGTTAACTTTCGAAAACTAACGAGAGAAAAATATAGCATCTGTTAGCTAAAATCTTTTATACATATTCTATAAAAAGATTATTTTTATTAAAAAAAAAAATCTTTATTTATAAAACTAACTTTTTAATCTTTCTAAGATTTTATTTTATTAAAAATGATCTTTTCATAGAATATACAAGAAGATTTTTTCAAGTTATTTTACATGATTAAATTGTTAAAAAATTAATCTATCTAAGCTACCTAATCTACATCCTAGCTTTATTCTAGCTTTGATATGATATCAAAATTATTATGGTACAAGTATGACATAGATTTTCGATTGCTCCATTATTTTTGTTCAGAATTTGTGTTTCGATGAAAATGTAAGTGAAAAATTGAATTTAACACTTACCTGCCAGGCGTTGGAGTCCAGAGCGAGGTAAGACATATTGTTGTTAGTGTCCTCCGTGATTGTAAAAATGTTGTGGACCCTCAAAACCCGTGGCTGATCGGCACTTTGTCGATATGGAAATTTTCACTCACGTCCCAAGACGATCGGTCGGCGGCATCTTCCGTCGGTGGCTTCGACAACGTGCAATGTATTCTGAAACAAAAAAACAAATCTTCTAATTAGAAGAGAAAAAAGTATATTTTTGTACACATTTCTATAAATTTACTAATTGTAATAATTGTAAAAATTATAATATATGTAGGAATTGTATGATTTAAAAAACTACTAGATGATTATATATAAAATATTTTATATTATATATAAAATATTTTACACAATAATATTTTTTAATCTTTTATATTGTATTAAAAATTATCGACAAATCTGATATTTCTTTTATACCATTTTGTTAAATTTAACTTTTTAATTAAAATACTATATTAATTATTATCTTATTAAATCATTATATTCTTATACTGTGCGCTTGATGATGAATTTTGAAATAATTTATCGCATATTATCCTATTCTTAATACTTATTATATTACTAATTGCTTATATAAATCTAAACTTTTAATTTATCAAATAATTATCTTATTTTCATAATCCATTTATCTTCTGTTTCATATTTCCTCTATTGCGCAATTTTATATTATTTCCACAGCTTTCATTTCTGTACTCATTCATTATTAATATGCTATATTACAAGGGACAATAAAAGTAATTTCGTTTATACAGAAATAAATAAGCAAATATTAATGTGCATACCACGATTCAAAGCATCCAATTTTCAGATAAATCTAACGTACCGAAATAAAATTCACCATGGGAAAATAAATTTTTGTAAAAAAAAAAAAAAAACCAATGGAAATTTCGCTAATTTTAGCCGAAAAAATTTAATATTTACGCGAAAGCAGTTTTTTATATAACGTATTTTCGAAACAAAATAAAATGGAACCAACGCAACGATTATTTGTAACAATATATTTCGAATGTATTAATAACGATGCATTTATTCTTATATAACGATAGAGATCAAAATCTAACCTAACCTAACTTTTTGTTACACGACCATATTTGATACCTGAATTGTAAAAGACGTCAAACAAAACGAATATTCCAGAAGATTTTCCCGAGAAATGTTTGATATGGATTTGATGAAAAATGAACGAAAAATTGTAAAGAATATGAAAAAAAAATAAACGAAATAATAATATCATAAAAGAAATTGAATAGCCAAGAGAATGACGAAGAAATAGACGAAAACCGAAAGTCAGCGAAAAAAATGTGAATTACACTGTCGACGTTTCAAATCCCCCGGGCGTTCCGTCAACGGATCGAGAACTTAGTTAAGCAAAGTTAAATACAACTCCCCGAGGTAGCACAACTGCCTTTTAATTGTAAACACTTTCACAAAACAAAAAGATAACCCGAGCCATTCCGGTACACGATGATTTTCTGATTAGTCATCGCGTTCAACGAATATATATTTCCATCTCTTTGAATTATTTATTATCATATTTTACATCGACATATTTCAGATTTATAATTTCAGTCTAATTATCATATTACTTAATGCTTGCTTTTTATTAACAATAGTTCAACAATACATACTTATTATGTACATATTACGATTATAATTAGATATGATCGGCATTGGAAAGTATGAATTATGAAGTATGAAAGTAAATTTCACTTTTTAAACGCACAGATATCTGTATTAACGCATAGATATCTGATGTTAAGTATCTTAAAAAATAAAGGAAATGATAAATCTAATATCTGAACGCAAAAAACGAAGTAAAAATTACGTAGATGAATATCCTTATTATCGATTTAAAATTACAGATATTTTAAGAAAGAAGGAACAAATACTCGTAAAATTGATTTAAAATTTCTTAAAACTATCATACACTAGGATTAATTAGATAAATATAACATTTAATTCTTTTTAATTGAATACGAAACGCATTCATGTAACCTGTACATGATGCAAGATAACCTAAATGTTATTCGTCACGTATCGAAAGAACGAAACAACGGAAAATTGAAAGGGAAAACGTACTTACCACAAGTTTTTCAAGACGAGTGATCGATTATTCACGTCCAAATCACACCGAAATAGAGTCTCAGATGACAAAACGATTCAAAATCACAGAGTCACGAGCAACGGTTCGTTTTTTTGAGCGCGAAAATGGTGCAACGTCACACGTCACGAGGACGATCGTTCGAAAAAGCACTCGCGATGTTCTCGCCGAATAATACGTCGTTCGACTCACGTTTGAGAACGCATAAATACGATAGAAAAATTACAAACGCATCTTCTTTTCACTCGTATCGGTGGCCTCGCAAGGATCCATCGTGTCGACGACTCGCGAAACGCAAGGCAAGCGTGCGCAACGCGACACGACACCGAACGTAATGTGCGTCGTTAAGATATTGTCGCGTTTCCAAAGCTTTCGACCTCCTCGCGAATAATAAACATTCTCTAGGTCGACGAAAATACGCAATATCGTCGACTCGGTTGTCCTCTTATTTTCAAATACACACACGCGCACGCTTACTCACAAACACGATCCAAGGCCCGGTAACCTAATACTCGGCTAGATTAGCAAAGGCTAATTCGAAATGCAACCCGCGTCTTCCTCTCTTTCTCATCGACTTCTCGATCCCCTTCTTGCCCTCTCTTTTACTCGCCTCCCCTCTCCATACCTTTCGCCTTTTCTTGTGCGATATTGCTCCGTCCTTCGACTCGTGCCTCTCTCCTTCCCTCTCTTTCTCGTTCCTTCTTTCCGTCCTCCCTCTCCCCTTCTTTCTCACTCCCTCTCACTCTTTCTTTCTCTTTCTCTCTCTCTTTCTCTCTCTTTACCTCACTCCCTTTGTCTCTCTTTCTCGCTCTCACACCCTCACCGAGACTACTTAGAACGATGGCCCCTTATATAATCGGTGAACACTACGATAGCAAAACCCTGCGGTAATAGGACACGAAATTTTCGGAATATCAAGAACTGGACCGGTGTAGCACGATAAAGACGCGTGTGGACGAGGATGAAAACGGCGTTGAGCGCGACGATACACGATGGGAAGGAAGAAAGTGACTTTTGTACGTTGTACCTCCCCCGGTGTGTGTTGCCACCGCACGTGGCGCGTCGCGACGTCGCACTGCGCTCGAGGCAAGAGAGGCGCCGCGGCGCCCCCCAACTCCTCTCGACAGCCTCCCTTCGTAAACCACGCTCCCTACCTCCTCATCCTCCCTTTCGCTTCGTCAGCCCGCCCGCCCGCACCTGCGGCGCGTCCACCACCGATCTTCCCCTTCTCGTTGCACCCCACGGGGGTGTGGTGCCTCCGCCTCCAGTCACATGACGGACCCTGCGCGGCCTCCCTGCTATACGCGCCTGCCGGCGGGGATAGTCTAACCTAACCTACATGACTGCGTGATATAACCTATATGAGCGCGCTTCGTTTAACGCGTCGCGCTTCGTCAACCGATCGCATATACCTCTCCTCGGCTCATACGGTTCCAAAATTTTTCCCTTTACATCTACCTTTATCTTATATAGACATAGCATCGCGAGTATTTATATGAAATAATATAATTATAAATAATAATAATAATAATAAAAATATTTCAACTGTTCGGAAAAGAAATATATTACAATGGGTATAGATGGAAAGGGGAATAAAATGGGAAAAAGATCGAAGGTATGATGAATCGAAAGAAAGATCGAATACACGATCGATATGTATTTCGATAGTTATCGCGTAAACGATGCGTAAACGTGTGTGCGTGCGCGCGACGAGGACAGAGGGCTGGATTCCGCTCACCACACCCTCTTCACCCCTAATCCTAGGACGTACTGGATAACTGTATGACGCCAATACATTTGTGCCGCGTAACACGAAAAGGACGACGAATGCTTAGCATCGTCTGCGCATGACCGATCAATGCCCCTTCCTTCTCCGCAATCACCCCTCCTGACGAGCTACTACTACGTTACTACTGTACGTATACGCCCGACTACGTACCACCCCACCACCCTGTTCCCAGCGAACTAGGACTACAGCCCCTTTTCTTCGTACAGCCCTGCTCCGTCGCTACCTCCGCTGCCCATCCCACCCGGTACTTTCACCCCCTAGAACGAGAGGAAGATCAAGAGAAGAGTGCACGGTTAAAGGAGGAGAAACGTTCAGAGGTGGAGTGAAGAAAAGACTTCCAAGACACGTCGAGACTTCTGTTTCTCCCTCTGGAGATTTCGGCAGGTTTTCACACCGTCTTCCGTGTCTCTTTTTACCGATGTCTCTACTTCCTGTCTTTTTGCCGTGCCCTCGTCGCATTCCTTCTATGCCTACTCCTTTCTTCAGGAATACCATGAATCTTCAATTCGATGGATCTACTCTAGATAAAAGTCTCTCTTCTCACAGAAGAGAATTCGATATCTGAAACGATATTCTTATCCTCGTAGCTGGAATCCTTCGTATTGTTACGCTCTAGTTACGATTCGAAGTCGTCAATGGAGGGAGTAACGTGTATTTAATATCCAGGAAGACTAATCGCGGATAGAACAAATAATCATGTCGATCGATAATCGGAATCGCAGAAAGATCGAGCCATTATTCATCGTGTTTCTGTATTTTTCCCAAATTCCGTAAGGAAAGTGATTACTTTCACGAAGAGGCAACGGTATACACCGTGCCTCCAGTTTCCCTGATCGAACGTTAGACTCGCGGGAGAGGTCAAACCGTCCATCTTCTTGTAAGAGGAGGCGCACCACGCCTATGTTAAATCGTGACTCGATCGAGAAGAAGGAAGCGCCGGTGTTATATTAGCGCCCAGGAACAACCTGATGCGATCCTCCGGGGTATTCACGGTGGTTCGTGAATAGCCCGCGGATAAAGAAGCGAGAAATTCAGGATCGACGAACAACGGGTCGGGCGTTGCGCAATTAACGAGACCAACCGATCGAACTCGTAAGCAACTCGTCGGGTCGACAGGGTCAAATCGAATGATTTTTCGTCACTGAAAAAAATCGATACAGCGCCGTAGATGTTCGATATCTTGCGCTTACCTTGCGGACAATGTTGCATCGTGCGGACATCGGAGTGCAACACGATGCAACTCCTCGATTAGGAGGGCGTTCGATGGGAATTAGACTT